TTAAAGCATCATATCAAGCTTTTATAATAGTGTGTCCAAGATGGCTATTACAGTTAAAGTCTGAAGAAGGGCTTATCTTTCTGAAAGTTTGTCTTCTTCCTCTATAATCAGTTGACCTAACAAAAAGTATTGCCTTCACCTACAAATTACGTATTTATTATACCTTTGGAGCATCTCAACCATCACATTATTACTATTACCACTGTAATGGGTGTATGTGGGCATGAATAACTAACTGTTTCTGGAAAGTATTATAATTGACCAGTTCAAGGATTTTCTTAAAGAACAAGAGGGGGGAAAGAAAAAGAAAGTATTAAAAAAATATATATATATAAAAAAAATATGTCTTAAGGGTAAAAAATTCCCCTAATAAGTCCCCTGCTGTTACAGGATTCAAGAATCATGCACTGTGATGAACTGTTTTGTCCTTGTAGTACCTAATAGTTTGCTGCTGTTTGTAATTTATTAATGCTTGCTATTGATAATTATTTTGCAGCCCAAAGCTTTGAGCTGGTGTGGGTCTTCTGGACTGAAGACCTTAACTGTGGGATGCCAGCTATCTTGATCCTTCAGTATTCCCTTCTTTTCTGTATCAGTATAACTCAGGATGGGATAGTGACTTCTGTGCAAGGAGGTAAATATAGGGAAGCCCTATTTGTATCTGTAGAGCTTCAGAGACATATATTGAGAGCCCCTGCATGAACTCAGCTGAGCCCAAAAATCAACATTCAGCGTCATTCAAGATCTTGACACATAGGTTTCTGTGACATTTCCTGGATGTATTCCAATAGGTAAAACTTCTCCCCACTACTGAGTAATGAAACACAGAATATCTTGTGATAGTCATAGGGTAAATTTTGTTTTTCTTTCAATAATTTTAACTTGGTGATGTATACAAAATAATTATGTGCCTAATGTGATGCTAGGCCAAGCTCTGCACACATGGAATGTAATCCCGAAGAAGTCATCTGGAATACAAGAAAGAGCTGAATTCTAAAATGATATATAACAAGATAAAGGAGAGGGGAAGGAGTTTCTTTCTCTAAGTCATTCTACGTTTTTTTGTTTTTCCCTAAATCTTTCAACACACTTTGCTGCCAACGCCAGATGAATTTGATAGTAGAACAAATAACATTTATTTCAGAAAATATTGGATTAGATTTTAGAAAATATTGGATTAGATTTCAGATACTAAAAGCAAATTGTGACCAGTAAAACCAACATGAACGTAACTAACCATCACCTATTCTTAACCATTAGATGTCTTTCTACTGGTTTTGTGTCTTTACTTGGGAAACTCCTAAATAAATCTTAATCATTACGATTTCAAATAGAAAAACAGAAGTTTGGGGGATTTTGATGTTGCTTCTCCCTTCTAAACTTAAAACTAGGCTGGAGACATACATCTTGCTTGTCTGTCCCCAGACAGTTCTACCTGAGCTCTCCCTCACTCTGTGATGTTAATGCAGGCTGTGGAAGTCTGCCTGGTGGTTAAACACGTCTCGCCTCAGAGTCCAGAGTCCTGCAGCAATTTCTCCTGTGTTGAACGTGAACTACATAGTATGCCTTCCAATTGGCTTTATTTTTGAAGAGATAAAATATGGCATGGTCAGATTTAACCTGATACACTGCTGCACAATTGCTTCTGATTGTTTTAAGTTATTTCAAGTCAGTTACTTATTATCATTTTGGCTAACAAATATTGACACATCAGTATTCCACCCATGGCTGAACTGACATGAGCATATAAATACGATGCTAAGCAAGCTGGCAAGTACCTTTTGTTCACAGCTACTCAAATTAAAGACAGGTACTTTGGTGTGTCTTCAACCAGAAACAAACTGTGAAAATTCATTTCCCAGTGCTATTTGGATATTTTTGTAACTCACTATGATCACACTGCATATGCAGATACAAGTTAAAAATAAGCTTTTCAACTCTTGCTTGTTTACACAATATTAGAAGCACTTTATAAAAGTGGATGTTAATTAATGCTGTATTTTAATGGCATTCCTATGAATTTGTAAGTACATTCTGGAGAGACTTTCAAATACAATTTACTTTCAAAACAATTGGGATTATCATGATCAAAATAATTCAAATATTATTTTTGATTTCCACTACATGTATAATGAAATTGGTTAGGCTTAGATGTCTCACACATACAGAAAAGAAAAAAAATATTTTCTTGCATCTTTTCAAGTGTTTTTAAAATAGACTTGCACCCTCTTCATTTCAATCTACTCTTTTTCAAAGAGAGCTAGGTATGCATTAAGTTTTCAAAAAGATTAGCCACCCATTTGTGCTAATGAAAAAGGTAGTTATATATTAAAGTATCTATTTAAGACATCTTGCATGCACCCAGCTATCAGCCAACTCAACTGATGCAGTCATAGGAATTATTCAGACTTGTTAAGTACAGCAGCACTTACAAAAACCTCCACAGAGATGCACTTTTTGATAACTCTACCTAAAATATTTAGAAGGAGATTTAAATGTTTTCAGAGGAAATTCTTGAAGTTGTTGAAACTGTTGTGCAAATGAAGGAGTGAACTATCCTGTTTTGGAATGTCTTCTGTAGGATTGAGTGGAGAGCTCTCCGGTGTGAAGTCTTAAATTGTGAGCTGCAGAATAACAGGACCATAAACTGCTCCAAACAGTGAAAATACAGGGCTACACCATATTCCATGTCTTTCAGTGCAGCCAAAGGGAAAGGTGGCTTTATGATACCTTAAGTACAGCTTTAGAACAATCACTCAGTTCCCCCAGATGCTGAATACTGTTGGCCCATATATTCATGCTCTCGGTTCCATTGTGAACCAAGAGCAGGTGTCATTGTGTAATTGTTCAGGCTTTTAGAGAAAGTGTTCAGGAAAGTGAGTTAGATAAATTATTTCTTGCTGATAATAGAACCAATTTGGTTAGGATAAATAGTGACCTTAAACTCACCTGAGTATGTCATTTATTTTAACTACATTTTTGTATTTTTTTCATACTTGTGATTTCTGGATTGGGAGGAAGCCAAAAATGCCAAAATATTTTGAAACTAACTGTACTTGTGGTCATCTTCTTGTCAAAGCACTTTAGAAATATTAGTAATGATATCTTTTCTCATAAGATTTTTCTCTCTTGCACAAAGAAAATGTTCTGATAAGCAGTCATAGTCCTGGGACTGTATCTGAACAGGCTGCGCAACCAGACGTAAGCTGTGATCTAAATGATTGCTTAGCTATGTGAAGTTTAGATCTTGAGCTGAGCTGAGTTTCCATCTCTATTAACAACAACAGACTGGAACAAGAAATCCTTTATACAAATGCCATTGAACTGCTGAAAGGTTACACAGATGAAAATACAAGATCTTTGGTTTAGATCCACCTCTTTTTTGGGGTATTACTTCCAGGATCCATTTTCAGTGTGTTTAACCAATATTGAAGAGACAATCCCACTGCAAAATGACTTCTGGTAATTCTGATAATTCTCCGTAAGTTTAAAGGATATGTGACCAATTTTTATTTGGTTTGGGGTAAAGGCACATCTAAACTGTGCATCAAGGGCAGGGGATAGCAAACATCTGTGCTTCTATGTCTATCTGAAACACAAAGAGAATATTTTGTCCAAAGAAGTAAAATATTAATTTCTCTTTTTAAAGACAGTGCCAAAATCACCTGTTTCTTGAAATTATTTTCCCAAGATTCCCAGGGAATAAGGAGGAAGCGGACTTTCAGGAACCACAGAAGGTGGCTTCCAACATTTCTGACTGAGAACTGCATAGGAAGTACTTCCTCTATTGTCTAACTATTAATTAGAAAAGGAGGTAATGCTTTCAAATCCTACTTTAATTCCTTAACCAGAACAAAAGTCTCAGAATTTGTTATCTAGTCTCCATCATTTTTTAAACATCAGGAGGGGAAGGGGAGATGTCAAGTGAAGTTAACACAAAGATTGAAACAGCATAGTCAAAACTCTTCCAGAAATGGTGTGCTCTGTGCAAAAATGATTACAAATGCAGAGACAATAAAACTTGAAACATGCTAAAATCCAGCACGGTTACACATCTGAGTTTCCATTTATTATGGTTCACTATTTTAAAATGGATCCTGAGTCATAAACATGGCTGCCAGGAGGTTCACCTGGGTCCCATGAAAAAGATAATAAATACCCCTCCCCCGACTTTCTTCTGTCATATTACAGATATTGCAGTGATTGCTTTGGGGCTTTCAACCAGGGCCCTAGGAACTGTGTCCCCTGTGCTTTCCTCTGCTCCATAAGTCGTGGTTATAAAACATTTTCATCTGTGTTCTGTATCAGAAAGCATCTGCATTTTATTATATTTCATCTTTGTGCCAAGAAAGGAATATGTTTTGGAACTTCCGAGCACCATCATATAATTTTCATTAATAAAAGGAGGAGGGAAGTACCATCATCCAGCACTTGAAATGACCTTAAAAGGGGACCCATGCAAAACTGCACAGAAACAAAAGATCTGGACTAGCAGGGCCCAGGCTATTAGTTCGTTGATGTTACACCAATAATCACTTAGTATAAAAAATTGGCGTCAAAATTTTGATATTAAAAAAAAATGAAGGGGAAAAAAAAAAAAAGAAAGAAAAAGAAAAAAAATTATGCTGATTACTCATAGAACATAAAATACTATATCCTGTAGTAACCATATATCAGCTCTGCTTAGATATGTTCAGCAGTATAACTAAAACGAGCAATGACTGTCTGCATTTTTTAAATCTTGTAGGAGAAAGCAAAGCCTTTACAGCATTTCTTGTTATCATTCATTTCTAGAATAATACATCCCAGAACACTCCACTGTCAGTGAAGAGAAGGCTAAACTAGTGTTTTTATTTTTGGTGGAAAGAAGCTGTTTTGGTGCAACCACAAAACCAAGGAATTCCCTGGCAAGACATTCAGGGATGTTGGCAAGATGTTAACATCTTGCTCTTTCCTGGTTTCATCCTTCCATTTGTTTTTTTTGTTTGTTTTTTTGGTAGGATAAAGTCTATCGACATGTGCCAGCAAGTGGTTTGTGTGGAGTAGACATTCACTGGAGCTGCAGAGCTCGATGTCAATGGACCAGCTCTCTGCAACACAGAAGGGTGAGTTCAGCCTAGCTTCCTCCTGTGTTTTTGTTGTGGTTTTTTTTGTTTGTTTGTTTGTCTGTTTTGTTTTTTTTGGTGATGTTTATTTTCACCATGACCATAGGAGCTCATTTAATCTACCTCAGCTTCCCAACATGCAAAATGAAAAAATACTGTTGGTCTTCACTGGACCATTATAAGGGTGAAAAGGTCAATAAGAGCTCTAAGCTGAGCAGTTCTTTGCAAGTGCAAATTATTTTTCTGACATTGACTTTTCTGCAAAGTTATGGAGCTAATATTTTAGCTTTTTTTTTTTTGCCCAGTTTTAAATTGTTATCTTGAAAATGCACAATAGCAAATTTTTACAAACTTTAGCCAATCAGGATCAGCCCTCCCAGATAATGTAAATACAATTAGTTGATTTAAAGCACATTTCATGTTATGCTTATCTGCTAAGTGTTTCGGTTATGGCGTTCATAGAGAATGAGTCACTCATACATATTCCTCAAGGAAGAGCCAAAAGATGGAAGGAAAATACAGCCTGAGGAAAAAGTCTATAAAGATTTCTCGCTTTTCTAATCCCTTCTCTCTAATGTTTCTTTGTAAATTTGTCAGATGGGAATGAAATTGCCTCATAACTCTCCAGACGTGAAGAGCATCACTGCACAAAATTACGTACTTGTCAAAGCAAGGGGGAATTTATGTTGGTGTTCCTGAGATGTGATTTTATTCAGTCTATTTCCTTTGTGCACATCATAGCAACTAGAAAGACAAAAACAACTAGTTTATGTATATCTTCCTCTTTTTTTCCCCCTTTTTTCACCTCTGGTGAATTTTTTAGCTTCTATTTTTCCCTTTTGTTATCTTATCCCCCCCCCCATCCTTTTATCTACTGCTTATTGCTAGTGACAGTAAACTTCCATCCAACAATGCTGTGATGAGAGCAGCTATGATTCTACCAGCACCAGGCAGTTCAGACAAGTACTACGGTAATTTCCCTATGGAGCATGGAGAAAGGTGTGGCTTCTCATCTGGTTAGGAAAGATTTTGATTTATAAACCTGCAACATTTCTTATAGGCAATCAAACAGTTATTTAAGTTGATACTTTCCATTATATATTTTTTTAATTTGAATTTTGTGCATTTCACTACAAAGCTTCTGCTTTTCTATTTAACCATATGGTTAAATATACTGAAAACTCCTCAAAATATGCAAATCCAGGTTCTTTGTGTTATTTTGGATATTATAGTTCTTGGTCTTTGTGCAGTATTTCTTCCTTGAATTTAAAGCTCTGCTATTAAATGAAGTCTAAAGCATTAGGTACATAAACTTTGTTGAATTTCAGCTACTCCTGGCCATGACCTTCTCAAGACATTTTTAAAAAATCACCTTTTAATCCTCCTGTTTGTGTTTCTCCAAAATATCTAAGATAGTTTTAAAACCAGTATTAATGGAGAAGAATCCAACAAAATTAGGTCTTCAAAGCATTATTTGTGGTGGATCTATTAGCCTCTTCCAAGCAGTTGGGATGACTCATCTCACCTAACAGGGCCTTTTAGGCTTCCTCTTGAGGCAGAGGACGAGAAGAGATATAGATATATCCATGCTTCATCTGAGCTCTCCTAAATATAGTCCAGGGCTTCCTCCCTCTTTTATGCACCTTTCTATCATCCATCAGAAGACGAGGGTGTCTAGATGCCTAGGTGTCTTTCAGGTGAGAAGAATCCACATGCAGCTTCCCAACCCGTTTGTTTCATTTTTCTCCATGTTACTCCTCAGCTTTTGTTGGGCCAGGTACCCCTTTAGTCTTGTTCTAGGAATAAGCAAGATCTGGATTTGTGTTACTTTAATAACAAATACAATTTGGCTGTATTGATGTAGCCGAACATGAAGCTTTGTATAACTGAAGATGGGCCCAAGTTATAAAAATCAAATGCCTCATCCCTCCCCACACACACACACAAAATAGTGTTCACTTCTCTGCATCTATTTAAATCTACTCATATTCCAAGAATATTAAAAAGGTAAACTTTAGTTTGCTTGCACACTAAGACCCATCTTGTTCTTACAAGTAAAAGAAATATTCTCAAAATGATGAACGTGGTGATAGAAGAGTAGGTGATATGCTGAGGATGTCAACTTTTTACAAGGCTATATTAGAGAAAAAAAAATGATTTAACTGGAAACTAAGTTTTCTGGGAGATGGACTATGAGGCTATTCACTATCTAACAAAACAGACTCCTGATATATCTTTCTCAGTACTATTACAGTACAAAAATAATAGGTAGTAACATCCAATTTTGGTACCGTCCCTGCTAAGAAGGTGTATGTAAAAATGCATTAAAATGACTTCTCACACTGGTTTTAAGCTCCAAACACCTCTTGTGGAGTCATCAACTCAAGGGATGAAAAACACCTGGGAGGCTATGGATATGGTAGAGTCTGTGCAGATCCTCTGAATCGAGCATCCTGTCTTTTTTTGTATTACTGGGCTCTTCAACTTAGTATGATCTTCCAAATATCCTTTCGCAGTCAAAACCAATTACTCATTGTATGTGATCTCCAAAAATAAATGCATGCTGTACTACACAGAGTGATAAAAGGATATGTAGTATCTTCTCCTATAGAGTTGCAGCTACTAAGGAACGCATTCAGGCCAATACCAGCAGTGAAATAACTTGCAGCTGAGAACAGTCAATCATGCGCTGTATATGAGGACAGAGATGCTTTATGCTACCTGTTGGACAAAAGATGAGTGTATTTCTTTTGCCTTCATCGTGGTCTGGTCCTGTAAGTGTCTGTGTGTGAAACGGTCCTTGAAGTCAATGAGCCTTTAATGCTGTTGGTTAATATTAGGTATCTATCAGCATTTTATCTTGCTGTGAGTGTAAAATACTGGCTTAGAACAATGAAGTAGAGTTCCTGGAGCCATCCCAATGACTTCTTAAAGTAGTTTCCCGTGCAGTATATGGGGTATAAAATTATCCCAGCGTCGATGGAGGCGTGAGACTGGTCCTAGCAGCCTTGAAGAGGAGTTCAGATATCCCTGCAGAAAGCATCAAAGTAAATGCCAGGCCACATATTGTAGAGTAACAAGAAGAATTTTTATTATTGCTTTTTTTTCCCTTTTGTATTTTCCTTACCATTTTGATCAGATGTACGTTGTTTATAACCCCTAGTTTACTGGCCCCAAATATCATTACAGCGTCTGCACTATGATATATGTTTGGTTGTTACCCTTTTAATGGATAAAAAAAGATTTAAGTACTTCATTCTGTTGCATTTTGACAGCTGTTAGCCATCATTTTTCCATTCACCTGCATTTAGCAATCCCATAAAGGGAGGCAATCTTAGAACTAACAAGAGCTGGGCACTGCAAGGTGATAATTCTGTATCACTTTGGCCTATAAATACCTGACAGGCTTTGCGCTGAGTCAGCAGTCTGTAACAAAGTGGCAGCCATGCCCTTTTATCTGTGTGAGTGTTTCACAGCAATTGGACTATCAGCCCCTGCAGTGAAAATCCATAGTATCGATCAGGCTATTTCTCCACTGTAATTCTTTTGTAGGAAATCCCTGATGACAAATTTTATCTGCACCACTTTTTGATCGCTGGTTTGATGTAAGCGATCTCCAAGGGCAGAGTTAAGCTCCTGGCCGTTCCACATTATCAAGCACTAGCTTTATTTACTGAAACTACAGTTGTGGTCACCAACAAAAATAAAAAGTGAGAGAGAAAGGAGGAGGCAGAGGAGGATGAAAATTGGTAGTGAAACAATATTTCAAAATGCAGAAGTGAAGGGGGAAAAACAGTTGCATCAGCTATTTGATTGTTAAATGTAAGTTATAAAAGCATGTGATGCATTTATAAACACATAAATAGTAGAAATATGTTTTGATAAAAATGTCTACATGATGTAGGGCTGTGTTGCAAAAGTGGAATGGTTTTGGACCTGATCCTGCAAGCATTTGATCATATGAATGATCCCACAGGTCATACTAGGACTTCACTGCTAAAAAGGGGCCATGTACATAAGCAGGAAAAAAAAATATTCTCTTTTCAAAGTGATAAATATACCTTCTGAGTTGTTTCACTTGTACTTATTGCAGTATGTCTTGGGCCACACACAAGACTTTTCTACAGGGTTAGGACTGCACATTTTTTCAGTAGTCTTGAGGGGTCTGGAGGTGGTCGAGATGTACGTTCAGAAGATAAGATACAAATCTTTTGTTTAAAAGTTTGACATGGTAGAAACTAGTATTAGCGATACCACCCTGTGGATTAGTTTAGGCTCTCTCAAGTCAAAAATTTGACTTGAAAAGCCTACAAATGGAAATCTATGAATGTCCAGCTACCTGTATTAAGACTAAGAAGCGTAGGACATTACAGAACACAGAAAATGTTGTTAATGTGGTTTCAGGATTTATTCCACCTGTGATTTGAATGTGGGTTATTGTCTTAGCAGCGTTCTTATTCCTTGAACACCATAAATTTCTAATTTTTCAATTATTGATGAAAGAACCCTTTCCTCCTGTGCTCTGAGGGAAGTTTTCTCACTGATAGTTGTTGGGGTACTAGGTCGGTGTTACTTGTCATGACTTTGCAAAGATGTTTTCTTTTTACCGAAGTAATGCAGCATGAGGCAGTGAAATAGTGCCTCATAATTGTATTTATAGCCCTGAGTCATTGACATATCCAAAACCTAGCTTGTAATAGTCTACCTCCAGTTTGTTTTTTTTCCACCCAAAGCATGTTAAAAACAAAACTAAAAATATGTTGCATAGCAATGAGTTCTCCATCAAGAAAATATCTGTTTGGATTGCTGGACTCCTGCATACAGCTATGTCACTCTGCTAAAATTCAGTTGCCTGGTAAATGTGTATCTAAAGATATATGTTTACTGAGCAACATATATCAGAATAGGCATGGAGACATTCTAATTTCATGACTACACCTTTGAAAATTTGTCTGATTAATACTGAGAGGAATAATTCTATGTGAAGGGAATAGTAAATATTACCCACTTGAATGAGTTTTCAGTAGATGATGTGAAATACTCTGTCCATTCAAAACCCTATCCTGAAGTAATATTTTTATTTCAGCAATAACTCTGATTAAATAAATTAATACGTGATTAATACAAATTAAAATTATATGGGAGTAACTATTTTGGCTTTATATGTGGTTGAACATGTTCAAAGTTTCAGTAAGTTCAGTCTATGAAAGCAGAATCATAAAACCAGAAAGAGACAAAAAGATTTTCAGGGGGAATCAAAAGTGTTTCAGAATCAATTAAATCCTTTATTTAGGTTTTATGAACTACACATCTTCACCTGAGATTTTTGTGATAATATAGTGAACAAAATTCAAAGCATATTGTTTAGCCTAATGTCTGTTGTAATTGCTGAATTGTCATAAATCCCAAACACACTGCACAACAGTTTTCTGAATTATCACAGAGTAATCATTCATACTTTCATATGGCCATGAATGCAGTTTTGCCTTGCACTTAAAAGGTTAGCATATCTGTGACTGGACTGACCAATGTAAGATCTAATTCATTAATTACCGTTATAAGTTCCAACCTTGATTTATAATAAGGCATTTCTAGTGCAGTTGCCTCCAGGTTCCTCATAGTACCAAAAAGAGAAAGTCTCTTGAGTAGTGCCTAACCCACAGAATGTCCCTGTAGGTTAATGTCATCTCTGAGGTACAGATGACATACCAAAAAGAGAATGTGACACAGATTGTTTATAAATTATTTTGATTTATTTTATGTTTTATCTTTAAATTTATCCCCAGTGAAAAGTACTAAATTGACATCAGTAACGACTCCTTTTGTGTGTGTGTGGTATAGACAGGTGTTCAGTAGATGTTACATTAAGACCACCAACCCATGTCACTTAAACTACTGAACAGCCATCAAGTAATAATAACTTCCAATTACTACTAACCTGAGCTGGAGTTGAACCAGTGACCTTGAAATACTCTCTATCCCATTAACAGTTCCCTAAGCCATCCAGTCCCCTGGTGTTTGATTGTTCTGAATACAACAAAAGAGCTTTCCTTCATTTTTCTTTATTTCATTTTTTAAAACTGCTTAAAATTAGGGGTGGATAGGTATCGAAATACTCAATTTACAGTTTCTCTGTATCTCTAATACCACATCTAGAACAGCTTTCATTTTCACTGAGAATGCCTCCCGCTGAAAAGAAATTCTCTTTTCTCAGTCCTTGATGCCTTGTCTGTCACTGACGTATTTTGCACACCTAGATCTCAAGAATCAGTAAAAGCTGCCATGCATCTGCCTTGCATTACATTACACTATGGTCTCAGACTCGCATGTTGAATCCTTGCATGTCCTCTCTATTATGTTAAAAGTGTATTAAAAGCAGACCAAATAATGAGAAATGATAAATAAAGTGTTAATTCCTGTTTGTGAAATACCTGTCATTAGAGTTTTCTTAACTGATTTTTTTCTTTTTTTATTCCTTTTTTTTTTTTTTTTAATCCATGCTCAGAGACAGGTACTTGAATATTTTGTATTTTTCCTAGGTCAAACAGCATGCTGGTGTGTTAGATCCCAGCCCCAGTGCTCCTTGTACCGCAGCAAGTGCTTGCAAGGAGGGAGTGGGCACCACGGCCAGGGCTGTGCTTGCCAGTTGGGGTGGCTTGGCCTTGCCTTGTGTGTTCAGGTGGGTGACCTGCTAATGGTAGAAGCAAGGGCAGCAGAACCTTCATACTTGCCCATTAAAAAATAAACACTTTCTGTAGCATCCACCCAGCTGTAAGGTTTTCCCAGTTCATTTACACTTTTACGATCTAAAATAGTTTCAGCTGCAGCACTTTGGTGTACCTTTGTGACACCTTCTGTGAAGAAAAGGTGTCAGTTCATTATGGTTTTTAACCCACCACCTGCTTGTCTTGTATCTGCATTAAGAGATCTAGTGATATTGCTGGAAACTTTCATCCCACACTTTCTTCTCCAAATTTTTAGTGCTTTGGGGCAAATTCAGTGTTTTCATTAACATTTAAGATAAATCTGGAAAGAGCACAGACATTAATGCAGATTACAGGCCAGAAATGCTAAGCAGTAACAGCTTCCTTTGATCTGCTGAGATATGTCACTTGTAAATACTTTGCACTCCTGAAAATCAGCCCTGTGCAGCCCTTGTCCAGATAAATGCGGAATTCGGCCATCAAAGTCCTGGTAAGCCCAGCGCTGCTGAGTACATGTATACTACAGTCCATTTCCATACCCTGTCATTTGAGTTTGATTCTAGACTGATACAGGGGGGAAAAAAAAGTACATTTTGACAGGAATGAACAGGCCAATATCCACCTCACACCTGAGCGTGATGTTGGTCTCTGGTAAGCAGGTCCCTCTTTGAGGAATTTGTTCCAGGAGATGTTTGCATCTCACACTGCCATGTTCTCCCTTTGAAAATGCACCAGCAGCATGTGCCCTCTTTTACCACATAGGAGGAGGTAAGCAGGTATTTATTACATAATAATTCCTCCTTACAGTACTTGCCCAGCAAGCAGCAGACATGAGCTGAACTTCTTTAACACAGGGGTTTGAAATACATCAGGGCTCCCCCCTAGAAGAACATCCTCCCCCTTCAAACTTTACATTTTGCACAGAACAAGGACAGTTTCTGGTTTTCCTGATGAAGTTGTGCTACTTTGCAGGAAAAAAAAAATAATAATAAATTAAATTAAAATTACAAAAAAAAAAAAAAAAAAAAAAGTGGGATTTATAACACCAGAAGGAAACCTAGGAGTAGTTTCACAGGCAGGGTACACACCTTGGAAAAAGACCTTCTGAGGGTTTGGGTCACTCTTCCAAGATCTGTGTTTTATTCAGTGGCTCTTTACTGTGAAATGTAGAATCATTCTTTGGAATCATTCCCCTGGATAGAACGGAAACCACAATTTCTTTTTCAACAACCTCCCATCCCCATCTCCCCCTTTATTAGTCAAGTGAAACCTGTGATGAAAACTACCCTTTCTTTCCAAGTCATTTACTGTCTGGCCCTAATGGCACTTTCCAGAGGGAGGGAGTTAAACCTGGATCCCCATCTCTGCCTGAGCATGTATTGATGCTGTTATCAAGTTTAAAATAATAATAAATAAAAGAACTTAAGCCCCCTAAAAAAATGTCAGGGATAGTTTTGGACAGAGGATCTTAAAGCAGGCAGAGAGCACGAAAGACAGGAATATGATTCTTAAGGGCAGGATTTAAGACTCATTCATGTCCTTATTATTTCCTCATTGTCTGGACTTCTGCTCTTCTATCATGGTACTAGTTTTGGCCCCGTTCTCAGGGGTCTTGTACACACCATATACTTTACAGTATGCTTAAGTGCCTAACCAATATATGATTTTACTAGAATAGCCTCAATTTAGGCTTCAAAATTGAATCCTTTCTTCACAAGCACATTAAGAACAGCAATGTAAAATTCTAAGCACGATACGTGGAAAGTTATTCACTCTGGAATTTACAGCTGGGGCTTGCTGTTCACATGGAGGTCTCTGATTTACCCCTGAAAAGGGAAACAATGCTAATACAGACAGGGTTTGGAAAGTAAGATGTTTCCTTCCCTGCACCAGACTTGTCATCCTGCGGGTGTTCCTGGCTGCATGTAACCTTTGACTACAATTTTAATATGAGACAACAAAGTAGATCCAGTTTGGTCAGGTCTAAACAAATACATTCTCAAAGGTTGCTTTACCTTGGCATTTTGTATGAGAGAAAATTGTTCCTTTAAGCACGAGGATGCTTAGCTGGAGCAAAACAAAACTTTTACAGCAAATTTGTCTTCCAATAAAATTACACTGATGAGTTAGGGTTTGTTTGTGTTTTTTTGTTGTTTGTTTGTTGTTTGTTTGTTTGTTTGCTTTTTCCTTTAACACACAGATGATATTAATTGTAATTGTAAACTGTGTCAGATTTCCTCAGACCTGTCTTCCAACCATCAGGCAAAAATAGTCCAATGTCAAGTTACCAAAGTCCCCCAGCTGCCGGAAATTCCACTTCCCATCTCCAAGTGTTTTTCTTTACCACAAAATAACAAGCAAGTCTCTGTGTGTTTGTATCAGCCCTGAAAGTGCTGTCTGTAAAAGTCATGTCATAACCTCAATCAATCACTCACCATTGGCCAACACTTCAGTAGATGATCCAGAAATACTACTTATTGGGATTATACTTCAGGAAATAACATATTGCTGGCTGACAGTAGCAGCAAAATACTTTATAAAGAGGTCAGAAAACCCAAAGTTTTCCAAGTAGTTTCCTTCTGTAGCTTCTGAGGCTGAATCTATTTATGCACCCCTAAGTATATGTCACAAAGCACTTGGAAACTGGGTGGCAGGAAGAGCTCTTAGGGCTATTTAGTGCCATGAATATATACAACCACTGATGGCAACTACTTTTCAGTATTCCTTATCTTTCCCAAAGGAGTGCTGAACTTCACAGCAGAGCTACAGAGACAGCACCAAGGACTGAGTGCTATAGAGGGTGACGGAAGCAGGGTACATTGACGCAGGAAGGAAGTAGGGTGATGCTGATCACTGTAAATACAGCAGCTCAGCACCGGGGGGGGGTGAATCCTTCATGTTGCCATGCTGAAGTGATCCTTGGTCAGTCTTCTGCCTCCCTGTGATCCTACAGACAGTCACCAATGTTAGAGTACATGAGGAGTACCTGAGAGCAGCAAATCCACAGCTGCTCATTGAAATCACTTTACTGGAACTATTTCCCTCAAAAATCCATTTCAGAGAGGACTTTAATGTGGATCTCTGAAGCCTGGAAGTTAAGTAACAGTTGTGGGCTGTAATTATTAACCTAAATTAGCTATTACTATTTTTTTTTTCCTAGAAGAAAATTCCTAGATGTAGATATTTATTAATTTCTTTCACTTGCTCAGAAATATGCATATTACATTTTCTGGATGTCAGCATAGTTCACTCATTAATCAATCTGTTCTGTACTACCAAAATGCCACTGACCATTTAGACCCATGAAGAATGCAACCTGTAGATTTCGAGTCTGCCCTTTCTTAGACTGGATATTCAAAATTTATGGATCTGCCAGTCAAGATATAATAAAATGCAGAAACATGCTTGTAAAAAGAAATGTGATATTTACTGTTCAGCCATGTAATATCTTCTACTTATACATGTCCCTTGAGGATAACTTGATGTTATTGGAAGTGTAGTTTTCTTAGGCATGCTCCATTTTCTTCTTTCAGGTTCTCTTCTTCCTTTTTGTCGTTTTCTCTTTCTTAGAACTCCTTTGGAAAGTGTCAGCCCTTGAAAAAAGTAGCATTGTAATAGTAGAAATGAGTAGTGTTTGAAACGTAATAGCAGGCTTATTTTAAATAATTTGAAATATAAAGCTGAAGAGCAATTTAGAATTATTATGTTTAAGATCACTGAAGATTCAGACTTTGGTTCTTACTTATGCCAAAGCCAGTCTGAACAGACTATATGCATTTCTGTGATTGCAAAAGCAACATAACTAAAATCAGAACTGGGGCCTTCCGGTGTTTTTCTGATGGTTTAAGCCAGTAGATAGGGTTCTGGCTCTGTTTCCCAGCAAACTTTGGGAATTACAGATGTATCACTAAAAGGTAAGTGGTTTAAATGAGGTTGAATAACTGTACCCAAACTGGAATACAGTTCTGAATATAAAATCCTCATTCTGTCTCTGCTACTCAAGCATCCTATACGTATAGGAGCCATGAGGTCTCTGATGTCATATCTGTCTGTATACGTAAGTCTGTCTGTGTATGCACATCATATTACACATATTATACTGATGAAAGGATGCCAGCTTCAGGTCTTAGAGGAAGCCAACACTGTGTTTTTTGTGATACTCAGTAAAACTGATTGTCATTTGATAATGCCTGTTGGTGAAAGAATATAGAATACACCCTGCTACATGCTGTAACTTAGGTCTCCCTGCTTTTATCACTTTACTTGCTTTTATGATGTGTGCAGTGAAAAAAGTCTCTTGTGAATGAAAGTCTAGCTTTGACTGCAAGGGTTATTAAATGTGGAGAAGCAGTACAGTCCCCTCTGTTACATATAAAAGGTGTTGCTTATGTGGTCAACCAGCTGGGGAGCAATATGGGACTGCCTTCTCACCACGAAGCCAGTCTCCATAACAATTTACATAATAGTTTGGGGAAATCCCTGTGATGGGCCAAACAAGATGAAGTAGATCCGCTATGACTTGAAGCACTACTACCCAACACAATAATCTGGAGAAGATGTAATTGCTCTTCCAGCATCCACAAAGGAGTACACCGTATGCCAGATTCATTTCATGAATTTCTTTTCTCATTGCCTTAAGCACAATTACAAATACATTATGCAGTGTGAATTTTCACCCTTTTTTAGCATTCAGCGGTTCTGTGAAACACAGTCCTTTCCCCTTAGTATGCTGGGTTGAAATTAGTGCATTCCCCAAATATCTTGCTGCCTGTGCCATCCCACCGTGACCCAAAGAGGAGATGCTACAACCAAACCTTTCCCCTGATGGGATTTAGTCAATCACATCCACAATATCTTCTGACCTCAGCTTTCACAGAGGTCAGGAATCCAAGTCTGCCGCTGATCCCAGGTCAGTGCACAATGAGTTGCTGCCAGCCTCTGAGTGATAATAAGCTCTTGATTTTCAACTGGGGGAACAGTATGATGCACAAACCGAAACAAAGTCAGACCCATTTGGTTATTGGAAAGGACATATGCTTCTCCCTCCTCCTAGAGGGCTTCAACTGTTCATTAGATTGCATCCTTTTATGTATATTTTTGGCAGAAAGGCATTGCACATCACCAGGCGTTGTGCTCAACTTCAGCGTGGTGCAGAACATGACACGGTGTATTGGCATCTCCTGCATAAAACAGATTTTGACAGAAATTTAGAAAAAGTTGCCTATGGATTGAGAGGCAGTGATCAATTCTGACAGCGTCCTGCTCAACTCAATATTATCTCTGAACCGCCTGGAACAAAATGCCAGCGTGCAGTGCATTTCTTCCCAAAGTTCAAGAGGGTAGATGTAAACACAGGCCGTAAAAGACCTGCATGTCTTGAGCTTGTAGGGGTCGTAATTCTTTCCAGCAAAGTTACCTTTCCTGTTTCTATGAATTACTCTTACATTCTTGTAAGAGATACGGTTTGAGGTATTTATGGTGCATTCAATTCTGCTATCATTGATTTACTGGACTAAACCTGCTCCAGGATATGATGTAAAGCCCCTAATTCCAAAAAACTCTTACATCTCAGCGAGAACAGCATTTTCTGCCCTGTTGCCCTCCAGCAGATGACCAACGGAGATAAACAGAGGGCACTCCACTCTCAGTTGCAATGTGCTTGGTGATGTGAAGGAATCAATCAGACAAAAGCAGATTATTAGAGTGTCTGAGAGAGATCAAACATTGCTGGCATCTTCACCCACACACGGTTGATTTACAGGCAAGCTGATAAAGTGCTGCAGCTCACTGTCAGAAGTACATGACAGCTCCTCTAGCTCTATGGATAAATTATTGCTGAAGCCCATGATAACATTTCTCCACCTAGCAACCAAACATAACAGGATGTGGCTTTTAGTACTAGGAGCCAGAATGATACAAAGAGAAAACACAGAAACTCTTCAAGCAGTGAGGTAGCGCACGAAGAAAGGAAGGCATGAATAGATTTTCACGCAAATGCACACACGCACGTTGTGTATATCTATATCAGCTCTGCCTGCATAAAATCAGCATTGTGTTACAGCTGTGTATTTGAAAATACTCATGCCAAAACGTACATAATTGGTGCAGGCAGTTGCTGCAGATGCGGGGTGGCAGTGATGGTAATCATGCAAGTGAACACACATGCAAACTGAAACTTAGGGCTATGGGAAGAGTACTTTGGATGTCTGTGACTGTACAGCTGGCATATACACCCAAGGCTGAACTACACAGGAGCATAAATACATATATGAAAAGCAGTAGGTATTTTCTTTTACTTGGAAAAGTGCCAATGATAGGAAACCAGCAAATGAACTGGACTTTAAATAACCCTATTTTGCTTTTTTTTTTTAAAAAAAAAGGGGGGGAAATCAAAATAGTCTGATTATTCAGAAGACAATGTTAAAGAAAGCTGTAAATCAAATGCTTTGTTTTTATCTAATAACTTATAAGATAGTAAGAAATATAATCTGCTAAATATTATATTATGGCTATTTAGACATTGGTATTGCTCTCAAAAATTAAGTTGGGTTAATTAGAGCATGTACTGTATGCCTATAAAAGACTAAATCAGGCTCTGTCTCAGGAGCCAGACGTGAGTGCTTTTCAAAAACTGAATGTGACCCTGACAACTTAAAATGTAAAGTATATTGAAAGTACTTGCTAGTTAGAGATTCTGCTGCCTCCGAAGCTCCTTTAACAGGGTTGTTTTGTTTTGTTTTTCATTATTTTTAAAGGTCTTTCCTTATTTAAAAATATTTTTTCTTTAATACTTTAACAGAAATCAACCCACAGAACAGTACGAAAATGAATATGGAAATACCAGTATGAAAGAAATCAGGAGACCTGTTTATCTGCCATGTTCTGCCAAATGAACAATCAGAAAATGTGTGTTTTTTTTTTTCTCCTCATGGCTTTTGCAGTTACAAGAATTTAGGAAAAGTGAGAGGTAAGTGAGAAATTCTGAGATGCAAAAAAATGTAAGTTGATGGTATCCCTTATGTAATTCTTCATATTTGTTAGTTTGTCATATTAAGGACTCAGCACTGCTTATATTAAGTAAACTTAGTATTGTTTATCTGGAAAATAAGATCTAAGACCAATTCACATTTGTACATTTTGATTGTGTGTCTTTAGTCATTGCTGTGATTGAGAGTAGTGCCAGCAAGCAAGCTTGCAGGTTGGCTGAATTAACCATTTGCACCTGTACAACTGAATTAGTTGCACACACCCTTATGAAAGTATGGACCTGACTGGAGTGTTTTCCTTATTAATAAGTATGTTTTTTGGCTGGATTACTTGAAGTACATCATGCCTTTCTATCACTGGAGGTTAAGTGCAAGGGGGGGAACCTGTATTTTCATCACATTTTAAAATCTCCATCTAATTTTAACACACACTACATGGACTTGCAGACACATTACAGATCAGTTTCTGCTGGACCTCATGGGGAGGATTTAACAGTGCAACTCCTATAAAAGCTAACAGAAATTGCATGGCTTAATCCTTGCATGCTGCATTGAAAAATTACCCATAAATATTTCACCATTATGTTTTATTATTACAGTCAAATTTGTTTTATGTACTTATTATTTAAGGGATAATAGGGCAGGTGTCCCATTTTATGAGGCAATAATCTGGTTCACGTTGGCTCCATAGTTTATCCCTACCAGTGAGCTGCATTATCGCCAAGGGACATGGGGAGCCTGTCTTATTATAGTAATAATAATACCTTACATTTCTACAGCACCTTTCCTCTAGAATGATCCTAAAGCACTTTACAAATCCTATTAGATTTTTGACAACTGGGGTCATCTCAAGGATTATTTCAATAATGCCTTTTCTGGAGTCAAGATAGAAACCAGACTTTAGACGATCCATACAGCCTCTCTTGAATCTCTGAAAACGTTTGCTGTTTATACATCTCTTGCTCAGCTGGCTGGGTGTACACGTGCAGAGGAAGAGGTTCAAGATATTGATGGATGTCCTGGGCTGTAGGACTAGAGGTTCACATATGCTGGAAGTTGAATGCGATGCTCTTGTAACTCAGATGTCTTGTAAATGTCTCTTTGTAAGCTACATCAGCAACAGCTCTCTGAGGAGAGGTAGTGTGAGCTGGACTGCAGGCCTGCAGAGACAGCCCTCACATTTATTGGAAGGTTTGCTTGAAACCGGATCAAAGGGGAGTGATTCCAACCCCTTTGTTAGGTAATGTTCCTCTTCCAGATGATTTAGATTACGTATCCTCAATCTGGCCATGAGGATAGTTAATGTTAGTACCCTTCTGATAGATACAGGTGCTGCTGACAAAGAAAATCATCCTACTCTCTTCCATACTGCTTGGTTTTGCATCGGTTTGGTTTTGTATTTTGTAACAGCTATGTTTAAGTTTGGGTTAGGCTGCTGTTATTTTTCCTGAATACTAGTTTCCTAATACTAGTGACAAGCTAAGGTATGAAAGTGAAATTGCCTTACAGCCAGAAGTGTCTGCGCGTGCCTGTTCCCAGCTGCCGTTTATGAGCCTGTTCCACATGAAGTCCTGGTTAGGCTCTGAATAACATTATCTAATGTATGTGCCTTGTGTGCCCAGCCCTTTGGCTAATATTGTGTGCCACAGTCACAAAGTATGGCATCACTGAATATTTCAAGCCTCTGCATGACTTCAGAGCTTGTGACTGCAGTGGTTCCTCTCAGATACAGCCTGCCCTAGGGAAAGGAGTTGCCACACTGAGATTAGCCTTGTATTTTATCAGAAGTAAAAAAGGGATTTACCTATAAATGTTGTGGCTTTTTGCTTTTTTCAGATCCTTCTCTTCTACATTTTTTTTCTTTCTTCTGTTCTCTTTCTTCAGCTATAAATCCAGAAAGGTAAATTCTTTTATGTTTTGCTGCAATATGAGTATCTAATCATTTTCAGTAATAGAAGTATTTTATTTCTACTTGAAATTTGAAGCCCACCATGATTAAGTTGCATATTCTTTGGTTGAATAAGATATATAAGGCTGAGATATTGGCTGTCTTACCATCCCACAGTCACAAGGGCATTAGCTACTCAGAGACAGTTACTCATTCCTCCTGTAACCAAAATTCCAGGCTGACATGAGAAACCTTAGCAACTGACACCTCACTGAAATTGCCAGATTTCCAGGCTAAATTATAATTATATAAATTTACAATTTGAATCTTCTCCACACCAAAAAAAAAAAAAAAAAAAAAAAAATCCAGAGTTTCGTTTGCTTGTGTCTTGTATGATTGTATGATTCAGCATTCTCAGAATATACGATTTTTTTTTAGTATTGGAAAAAAGGATTGGCTTCTACTATCTTCAAAGAGTTGACCAACCAGATTTTTAAAATATTAGTGCATAACTGAGTTAGTGGTTGCTTAAAAGGATTTTTATTGGCCCCTACCTGTGTTTTTGAGTACCTAAACACCTCAGAATGTTTCCTGATAGCAATACACTCAGGATAAAATACTTCAGCATTGTGGCTAAGGGATAGTGCTTTCATTAGATCTATCATCCATTCACAAAATATAGCTCTGTGCGACATTTACATCAGTAAAACAAATCATACTATGCCTCAACTTTCCCCCATTAGTAACTGAATGGATGTCTTGCCTCACCCAGGCAACAGGATATGTCAAAAGTTCATTGGATTTACGGATAACAAATCACTAGCTATCTTTCAAGCATTGTGCAAATTATCAAACATTATTTTATGTCACAGAGTGAGCTGACTAGGCCATGATTCAGGCATGTGCTGAAGCACCTTGTTGACTTCACCATCTAAATATCTAAAATGTGTATTTAGAATGCAAAAAAGAGATATGCTTTTCTTCTCTGGAACAATGTGTAGGAGATTAGTTCCTTATCTCATGCCTTTTTTTGTTTCTTTTTTTCTTTGATTTTTTTCTTATTACAAAATTTCAGATTTTCATAACTTCAAGTTGACATTGCAAGAACAAAAAAGTTGCATGTATCTCATTATAATGAAATATTAACATTTCTAATATTTCCTAACACCACCACTGTAAACTAAACAGTGGAATGAAAATATCTATGATAAAAGTGGAGCCTAGAGACATTTAATGTGAATGCGTTTCAGGGGTAGCTCAGGATTTGTTTGGGGAATGTATAGAAGATTATAGAAAATTGGTTCACTTATGCCCTCAATTACAATGTGTAAAGTCATTGTACCCTCCAACTGATGGTAGAATTGGGACCAAGCAGTATATATTGAGAAATATGAAGTAGGTTTTATGTTGATTTCATATTTTCTGCCCATGTATCATGTTCTATGGTACTGTCTGTTATTAATGTGAGACAGTTATCCTTTGTTATCCAACTGTTATTTTTTGAAATAATAACCCTGACAGAGCCTGGAGGGTATGTCTCACGAATACCCACATTACAATGCTTTATTGACTGGTGAAGGTCCCACACCTAGAGGAAACAATGTGTTTTTATGCCACATCCAAGTCCAGGTGTTCAAACTCTGTTGAAACCTCTATTACACACAAATGGTAGAACTATAAAAGCAACGGACATGTCTCCTTTTCTCAGAAAACAGCCACTACACAGGCAGTAATGTACAAGCACTTCTTGTGCTACCCTGCCCCTAGTGCCAATATCCCTTAACCTCCTTGTCTGGAGCAGTCACCCCTGAGCAAGCCAGTCTTTTTAATCTCCAACGACCATCCAAATCCAGCTGACAATGAAGGTGTGCCACAAGTCGTTTTGCTGGTTTTGTAGGATGGTTTTCTGCTTCATTAGACACTTCTGAGCAACTGTTATTAATAGTCATGGAAATCTCAGCTGTGCTAGGAGACTGGCTATGATGAAGGTGATAGGAACTTGACAAACACTGAGGTTTTTGTTAGTGCTCACGTCATGGGACTCAGAACACTCCCAGAAATTAGAAGGTTTTTTGAATTCGATACCTATGGCCAGAGCCAACCAATCCCCTACAAACAAAGCGTGCTAGCACACGTACAAAATATGAAAAAAATACTGTGGCTCGTATTTGCAAAGAACGTTGTGAACATAAATCACAACTTATAAAGCCAAGGGAAGATGTCAGAACAGTTAACAAATGTTCCTTGTCACCTAAATACTATGTTGATTGGCTCTAAGAATACATGGATCCATGGTTTTCAGTTAGGCTTGCATGAATTAGCCGATCATATTTAACAAAATCTGCCAAGATCTTTTTGTACCCCATAAACAAGCTCCCCAAATGTATATCAGATAATTGCCTCCTTTTTTTTTTTTCTTTTTTTCTTTTTTTCTTTTTTTCTTTTTTTCTTTTTTTCTTTTTTTCTTAATGAAAGTCTCTAGCAGTCAGGAGATTCAACAGTTCTCTGACTATTCAGACAATTGAAACATGATTAAATATATATATTTTTTCTGTGGCATCGGGGTTTTTTTGAGGCTATGGATATTAGGACTTAGATGTGTGATGCTTGTGTGATCAGCAATACAATTCTATATTCATGAGAAAGTAAAATATGAAGTATAGTGTAAAGTAGCTGTTGTATTCGTGCTTTATCTTGAAGCAGTAATTGAATAGCTGCTAACTGCTGAACTCTGAAGGAAAAAAAAAAATGCCTGTATGGTTCCTTGGCATTCTTTTATGCTACAAAAGTTCATCTATCCATCCTAATTTATGAAATGCCTTCATATTTTGTTCTTCCAAAATTTGACCAAATATGAATCAGAAGTAATGTCTTTATTATCGTGTGCTTTATCAGAGGGGAAGAGGCACTGAATTTCCATGAATTCTCATTGTTGTTATCTCTTTGAATATGCAGCCCAGACAAAGAGCCCTTTGAATGTAAAGTAAGAGGAGTGCTAATGCTCAACTATAGGTTGATGCTGAACTCTTACAAGCATGAAAATCCTTCTCACATTTCAGTGCACGCAGCATCTCTGGCTGCTAATATACAATA